CCTTCCCGTGGGTGCCCCTCCCCCTTCCCGTGGGTGCCCCCCTCCTCATTTATTCGCCCCTCCCCCCACCCCAATTCGGGACCCGCGTGGGGGGGATTGAAACCCCCCCCCCAAAATAAACCCCTCCCCCCACCTTCTGCCGCCGGGTCACGTGACCGTGGGGAGGGGTCCCGGGGAGTTTTTGGGGGTTTTTTTTGGGGGGGGTCTCTGGATTTTGGGGGGTTTTGGGGGGGTCTCTGGGGGTGCCGATGGCGCTGCCCCCCCCTCCCCGCGGTGTTTTTTTGGGTGGGGGGGGGATCAATGATGGATGAATTATCGGTGAATTATTGATGAGTTATCGATGAATTATTGATGATTATCGATGAATTATTGATCCCGGACGCGTCCCGGCTGCTAATGAGGTGTAATTGAGCGCGGGGGCAACCGCCCGTGACCGGCCTGGCGCGCGGGGCTGTCCCCGGGTCCGTCTGTCCCTGTGTCCGACTGTCCCTGTGTCCTTCTGTCCCCGTGTCCTTCTGTCCCCGTCTGTCCCTGTGTCCGTCTGTCCCCGTGTCCTTCTGTCCCCGTGTCCTTCTGTCCCCGTCTGTCCCTGTGTCCGTCTGTCCCTGTGTCCGTCTGTCCCTGTGTCCGACTGTCCCCGTGTCCTTCTGTCCCCGTGTCCTTCTGTCCCCGTGTCCGTCTGTCCCCGTGTCCTTCTGTCCCTGTGTCCGTCTGTCCCCGGGTCCGTCTGTCCCCGTGTCCTTCTGTCCTTCTGTCCCCGTCTGTCCCCGTGTCCGTCTGTCCCCGTGTCCGTCTGTCCCCGTGTCCTTCTGTCCCCGTGTCCGTCCGTCCGTCCCTGTGTTCCTCTGTCCTTCTGTCCCCTTGTCCTTCTGTCCCCGTGTCTGTCTGTCCCCGTGTCCTTCTGTCCCCGGGTCCGTCTGTCCCCGTGTCTGTCTGTCCCTGTGTCCGTCTGTCCTTCTGTCCCCGTCTGTCCCCGTGTCCGTCTGTCCCCGTGTCCTTCTGTCCCGTGTCCACCTGTCCCCGTGTCTGTCCATCTGTCCCTATGTCCTTCTGTCCCTGTGTCCCCGTGTCCTTCTGTCCCTGTGTCCATCTGTCCCCGTGTCCCGGTGTCTGTCTGTCCCTGTGTCCCCCTGTCCGTCCATCCGTCTGTCCCCGTGTCCCTGTCCCCGTGTCCCCGTGTCTGTCCCGGTGTCTGTCCCGGTGTCTGTCCCCGTGTCCCCGTGTCCCCAGGGCCACCTCTGGGTCAGACTCGTTTATTGGGGGGGCCCCGCGGCCGCCCCCCCCCCCCAATTAAAAACAAACAAAACCCCCCCCCCCCCCCCGCCCC